GTGGAGCCTGTTCCCATTGTGCACATGCACAGAATTGCCAGATGAAGGGAACAGCTAAAGAACAGGGATCGATTTTCGAGTAAGGCCACAGGTGGACGATGAATGGCCCCTCCCAGAGGAAATAAAAGAGGAGCGAAAGGGGAGTGGAGTTTGCAGGAGACAATTAGTTCATTTAATTCGTTCGTGACTCTCTGAAACTCCTTGCCAAGTTTTGCAGATCTGGGCCTGGCAGCTTTCCAAGACAGATAAGGTCTGTGACCGTAAATCCTCCCTTGAAAGACTTTGCTGGATGTGAATGGGCAGAATTCACAGTCAATTAATAAAAGGGGTTTTTGTTGGGACGAGGATTTTGCTTCAGGCTCTCGGGAAGCCTCGCTCAGAAAACTCGGGACTCTGTTTTAAACCGCATTCTTCATCCCGAGGAGATCTGGAGACCCCCGAGACTGCTTCCCCCCCACCCACCCACCTCCCCACGGCAATTGTGTACAGCACACACCCCTGTGGGAATCCAAGCTGCCCGTCTTCTTGTTAACGGCGTCCATGAATTTTTGGACGTCTTGAGCCGATTTCCGCATGGCGGCCATAGCTTCTCGGAGCTGCAGGTGGGAAAGAGAAAGAAGGGAAATCCGTTTGGATTTGCTCACCGGAAAAACAAAAAAGGACAAAAAGCTGAGAAGGATTCAGGAAAGGGACGGAGAGGACCTTGGGGAAAGGAAGGAGAGAAGCTTAACCCGATGCCGGTGGTTGGTGCCAAGCTCAATCTTTTCGGCTCTGGAGGTTTGATAGGTGAAGAATATTATCCTTGCTGGATATTGTTATTATTATTATTATTCACCTATCAAACTACAGAGGAAAAATTGCCAAGTTTCCAAGCCAAAAGTGGTTCAAAGCAGGATTTCAGCTGGGGACCGAATAGTCCTCGCTTAGTGGCATCCCCAGGAACAAACTACAAGCAGTCCTCAACTTACAACAGTCCATTTAGTGACCAAAGTTACAACCGCCCTGCAAACAGGGACTGTTTTTCACCCTTTACGGCCAACGTAGCATCATCCCTATGGTCCTGGGATCAAAATTCAAACAATTGGCAACCGTATTTACGACGGTCGAACTGCCCTGGGGTGACAGGAGCTCTAACCCTAACCCTTCCAAGTCAAAGGGGAAGCCGGGATTCACTTAATAACCGTGGGACTAACTTAACTGCAGTGATCCACTTAACGACTCTTGGCACCAAAGGTCGTAAAATGGGGCGAAATTCACTTAAGCAATGTTTCACTTAGCCACAGAAATTTTGGGCTCAATTGCGGCCGTAAGTCAAGGATTACCTGTAAACTATTTTTTTTTCCTCCCAAGAGAAGAGCTATTTCATGGCTTCTGTTCACTTTTGGAAAATGCCCACCCTTCTCTCTAACTGCGTTATCTTTTTTCCTAACTAGGTTAATGAGCAGTTATTCCCACTTCTGGTCCCACAAACTTACCAGGGTCTGGTCCTTTGCAATTTTGTTATTCGGATCTGCTACAATAGAAAGGAAATACAAAATTAAATACAGCCCAAAAGTATGGATTTAAATGATCTTGAAATTAGTTTCAAAGCCTGATTTTAAACGAACACAGTTAGTTTCAAAGCACAATTTTAAACTATCGCAGTTAAGTTTCAAAGCACGATTTTAAACAATTGCAGTTAGTTTCAAAGCTTGATTTTAAATGATCGTAGTTAAGTTTCAAAGCACAATTTTAAACGATCGCAGTTAGTTTCAAAGCAGGACTTCAAACGACCGGAGTTAGTTTTAAAACATGATTTTAAACAATCTCTGTTAAGTTTCAAAGCACGATTTTAAACGATTGCAGTTAGTTTCAAAGCCTGATTTTAAATGATCGCAATTAGTTTCAAAGCAGGACTTCAAACAATCACAATTAAGTTTCAAAGCATGATTTCAAACTATCCCAGTAAATTTCAAAGCCTGATTTTAAATGATCGTGATTAAGTTTCAAAGCACAATTTTAAATGATCGCAGTTAAGTTTCAAAGCACGATTTTAAACTATCCCAGTTAATTTCAAAGCATGATTTCAAACTATCCCAGTTAATTTCAAAGCATGATTTTAAATGATCGCAGTTAAGTTTCAAAGCACAATTTTAAATGATCGCA